GCTCACTGTAGTCAGAGTGTGGTTACCATGATTGGAGTGTGGTCACTGTTCTCACAGTGTGGCTCCCTGGTGTGCTCACTGTAGTCAGAGTGTGGCTCCCCGGTGCATTTTCTACAGTAGAGTGCGGTCATTGTGATCACAGTATGGCTCCCCAATGCGCTAACTGTGGTCAGGGTGCAGGTCCCTGGTGCACTCACTGCAGTCAGAGTGTGGTCACTGTGATCAGAGTGTGGGCACTGCGGTCAGAGTGTGAGCACTGTGGTCAGAGTGTGGGCATTGCGGTCGGAGTGTGGGCACTGTGGTTACAATATGGCTCCCCAGTGCACTAACCGTGGTCAGAGTACAGATCCCTGGTGTGCTCACTGTGGTCAGGGTGTAGTTCCGTGGTCTGGTCACTGTGGTCAGGGTGTAGTTCTGTGATGTGCTCGCTGTGATCAGAGTGTGGCTCCACCCCGCAGGCCATGGTGGCTGTGCTCAGGGCCCATGAAGCCAGGCGCACCCCATGCCTCAAAGCTTTGTAAGGGCAGTTTCCAGGCACCAGGAAATCTGAGAAATATGTTTCTGCTTTTGTGATCAAGCAAATTTATTAACAACCATGAAGCCACAGTAATTTTCAATAAATCATGACATGCTGATTTATTTCAAAAGATCCATATAGCAGTAAACAATATCATTTACATTTAATTAGTTTTATTGAACCAAAGGCAATTTTATTTGTAATGAACCACATGTTATGATTAAGGATGTATTTTAATGACCTTTAAGTAATGTGAACAAATGTTGCCCTTGACCTAATAGCAGAGGCTTTCCTACATTATTGAAAACTTAAGAATGATTTTTAAATTATCATGAAAAGCTTCGAATGACATTCTCATCATTGTGCAATTATTCAGCTGTTTGATGTCTCCTACACTAGATGAAGTGCGCCCCTCTCACAGCTCCTGTGCATGAAGGAACACGTTTGTTGTCAGCTCGTTCTCATTTCACGTTTGGGAAAGTAGTTTTCTCCTGTAAGAGCATTTCATGCTGTGGAAATCACTGAAAGTGAGGTATTTAAATGACAAGTGATGCCAGCCCTGCCTTGCCCTGGAGCATGTGGCTGCTGATCGAGTGTCCTAGCAGCACATGGGAGTCCCAGTTGTTGTCCAGTGTACTTTTCTTGTCTTAATTAACTTGAAAATAAATTTTTGTTAGTTAATGTGTAATCTGAGCTGCAGTAATAGCTCCACTGAGGCAAGCTGGTATGCTTACCCCTCCCCAGGGTCTAGCCTGGCTCTTTAGAAACCTGAATAGGACTTTGTAGACGTGAGCAGCCCTCAGAGGGGCTGCAGGCTGGGGAGCGGGAGCCCCTTTCTGCCCGGCGTATTCCCTGGGGAAGTAGCCCCTGCTGCTGCTCTGCCCTTTCTGGGCTTGATGGCAGCTGCCTTGAGGAGGGGGATCTCCATGGCTTCCCTGGCCTGCCTCAGCCTCCATCCTGGCAGAGGTATCTTCACTGGAGGAGGATTGTTTTCTTAATATTCTGAGAGTTAATTTTTAGATGCTCAGTCATGGCCTTCATCCCTTGTTCTGTTTTTGGAATTACCTCATTCTGTAGATTAAGTCACTTTCTGCCAGAAGACCTAAGGTGGTTTCTGTTTCTGTTTAGAAATGTGACCAAAAAATACTTCAAATCAAGAAGATTTTTTTCACTCTCATTCAACAGTCCAGAGGTGGTTTGGCACAAGATTGGTTGGGCAGCTGTGTCACCTCCAGGTGTCGCTTTGCAGGGTGGGTCCTGGGGTGCCCCACCCCCAGCTGCCAGAGGGGAAAGAAGGGCCACCGGTGGGTGCCAGTGGCTGTCCTCACCCCACGCTGCCTGCCAGAGGGGAAGGAAGGGCGTGGAGTGCTTGAGGTCTATAGCGGCGTGTGACTCTGCTCATGCCTGCTGGCCACACAGTCTGGAGCAGCTGCAAAGAAACCTGAGAGATAGGTTTTTTAGGCAGAAAGTTGACAGCTCACCTGGGACTCAGAAGATCTGCTTTGAATAGAAAGCAGGAATAAAGCTGAAGATAGTTTCTGCCACACACCATTTCTTCACTTTTTTTTCCCCTTTTCTATTGAGAGTTTTTGATTTCCTCTTACACTGCTTACTGAATGGAGTGCACTAAAACTGCTGGGTCAGTTTTCTCAGAGGATTTCGTTGCTCTGAATACAGGATGCCTCCTTTAGAGTTATTGATCTCCATCGGTTACTTCTCATTTGTTCTCCAGGAACTCTAAGCAGGTCACAAATTTGTATATTCCTGACTCACGTACATGAAGGTAGGAAGGAAATCAAACGTGCAGAAGCAGTAAATATGTCTTTTAGAAATGAAAGAAGCCATATCAATCTTTGACCATTGTGTGTTCTCTGTTAAAGAATATTTTCTTAGGCCAGGCACAGTGGCTCACACCTGCAATCCTAGCACTTTGGGAGGCTGAGGTGGGAGGATTACTTGAAGCCAAGAGTTCAAGAACAGCCTAGGCAACATAATTAGATCCTGTCTCTACAAAAAATAAAAGAAAATTAGCTGGATGTGGTGGCACATACCTGTAGTCCCAGCTACTTGGGAGGCTGAGGTGGGAGGGTTGCTTAAACCCAGGAGTTTGAGCCTGCAGTGAGCTATGATCATGCCCCTGCAATCTAGACTGGGAGACAGAACAGGATCCTGTCTGTCAAAAAAGCCCCCCCCCCACCCAAACCCACGAACATTTCTTAAAAGTGATTGAGTGTGATAAACAACCCACCAGCCCCATTTACAGAAGAGATCTACTGAAAAAGAGTGCTGTGTAGAGCGCACCCCTACCCTGCCGCCTCTGGCAGGCCTGGTGGAGTAGTGTGCGTGTCAAGGGTGTGGGCTGTGGGTGTTTGCACCTGTGTGAACTGCAGGGCTGTGTGCGGAGCCCAGGAGGTGGCGAGTGGTACCTCCTATTAGGCAGTGGTGGTGTGTTACAATTAAAACCATGCCCCTGTTGGGTTAAAAAAACATTTTTTAAGTTATCTTCCATCCTAATTTGTGGTGTTGGAACACAAAATCTAAGAATATCAATGAACATTTTTGATAATACATAAAAATATAAATTATCAATTAGAAAATTTCCAGGTTAAAACAAAGGAAAAATTTCCCAGTAATTTTGCTTAATTGTGACATTATAATTAATTCACTTGTTCTGTGTTTCAGGATCTTTTTTCTATCAGTGCTTATGTTTACGCTCAGAAGCCACAACTGGATATTCATAGCTTTGAAGGCACATTTACTAGGGTAAGTTCAATTTCCACTATGTTGTTCAATACTAATATATTCTCTGTGTGTGCAAGGTAAAAGTAGCATATTTTTATTTGAGAGACCAATTCAATTGAGAATAAATTCAAGTAGCAGAAAGGGAAAACCGTTGCAACTTACTAAATTTTCTTTCTACATTGTGTTTTTGGATACATTCATTGTGTTATCTAACTTTTTAGCATATTCACAGTTGATAAGATCTTTAGCTCCTAAAATATTGTGAGTCTGAAAAGTAAAGTATTTAACTATTTCAGTTTTGACTGGGTAGTTGGTACCTTGTGGTCTTCATATTTTGTGTAGCTTTTTGTTAATTGGCTGAATGAATACATATATATGTATGTACATTTTTTATAAACATATATATTTTTTGCCACATACTTCTAATTATTACCAAGTTTTGCTAAAGCTTGAAGTCCCCCGATGCTGACTGATAAGAGTTTGAAGGACTCAATAACTTTTTATTTTAAGAGCTTATAACTGATACCATAAATGCTTTGTTATGAGGAATTTTAATTTATAACTGTAATTTAGTTTTAATTGCTACGATTGTGTTGAAAAGATTTGTGTTGGTGCAGTCTCCTTTGTTTACTCTTGGTTACATGCAAAAGTTGGCAAGTGGCTGTCATTCCTTGAGAAGCACAGAGCTCCTACAGCAGGGCGTTAGTGTGTAGATCATGGCGTGTCAGTGAGGGTGCCCGTGAGGCTGAGGGCTGTAGCTACCTCTTTCTATGAGTGCTGCGCACAAGTTCCTACAAAACGCTCCTGGACACAGGAGGGAGCACGTCCTGGCGATTAGTGCTGTGGGATGAGTTCTGGAACATATTTATATATTTTTGTGTTTTTACAAAAATATTTATTATGGCAATAGCATGTTCTTATTAAAGACAATTTACCAGACGAGAATAAGTGTTATAAAAAAGTTCCCTTAGTACAATCAATTAAGAGTTAATAGTGTAACCACTATTAAGAATTTGGAAACTAATTTATAGCTTTCATATGAAAGCTATAACCTAATTATAGTCTAAGAATATGGGTGGAGGGAGGGTGATTGGAGGGATCACCTCTATGGTTTATCTCACAAGGGTACAAGTGAATCTAAAAGTAGAATATAAACGTCTTAACACAATAACTAAGAAAATGACATAAAGGCTATGTTAACCAGTTTGATGAAAATATTTCAAATTGTATATGAAAACGCTGCACTGTACCCCATGATTGCATTAATGTACACAGCTCATTTAATTAAAAAAAATTAAAAAAAAGAATTTGGAATGTAATTTCTTTTTTGCTTTCCTTTTCTATTCTTTCTCATTCCTTTCCAATTTATATTGCTTACAACTTGCTAAAAGTTGGGCATGTTTGCTAGTCTAGGTGTGGAAGTGCACACATGGAGTTAGTGAGTAAAGCAGCTTGGCTGCACTGCCTGGGTTGGAGGGGAATATGTGGCTGAGCGTGTGGGTGTGGGGGGCTTGACAGGGTGCAGTGGAAAGGTAGCCAGCTCTACCTGGAAGAAGCCATTTAAGGATTTTCAGCTTCACTGTGGGAGGCAGAGGTGGGAGGATCATTTAAAGTCAGGAGTTTGAGACCTGCTTGAGCAAGAGTGAGACCTTGTTTCTAGTGAAAAAAAAAAAAAAGAGAGGAAAAAAATAGAAAACACTAGCCGGGCATTGTAGCAGGTGCCTATAGTCCCAGCTACTCCAGAGGCTGAGGCAGGAGGAAGGCTTGAACCCAAGAGTTTTTAAGTTGCTATGAGCTGGGATGATGCCACAGCACGTGGGTGACAGAGTGAGACTCTTGTCTCAAAAACAAACAAAAAATCTTCACCTTAGAAAAGAAATGATACTATTGGTGTTTTTAAAAGACTCTCTTAAATGACCTGGTTCCCTAAGGATGATGGTGGCCATCTAACTTTGTTACTGCCTCACAGCCTTCCCAAACCCCAGGTCTCCTGGGAAAATAGATGGGGTCATCCTGGTCCTACATGCAGCATAAATGTGAAACAAGAAAACGAAGTGTACGTGAAGGGACGTGCCCAGCATGGCACAGTGAGCCCTAGCACAGGGAGGTGCAGAGTCAGGAGACTGTCCTGGGTGCTCTCAGAATAAAGGGAATTTCTCAGTGGATAATGCATGCTGTGCATCAATTTGGTGGGCATGGCTCTGGCGCACAGGAGGGACTTTCAAAAAAGTTCAAGTCAGAGGTGACCTTTTAGACAGTATACGGGACAGGAGCTACCACAAAGTTTTGATATCTATAGGAGCTTTGTGGAGGAAGCAAGAGCTGAAATTGGCCTTCCTTAAACAAGATGTTTAATACTAACAGGACAGTATTAAACTGTTCAGCCAGCTCCACCCCATCCTACAAAGGGTGCCACTCAGCGAAGACACTGGTTTTCACTGGAATGAGAGACAACTTCAGAGAAAACAGAACTTCTCATTATAAATAGAAAATGGATCCTAATTAACAATTAAACTACTAAAAGAGAGAAATGGATAGTGAAAATCAAAATTTTCAATTAATAGAAGTTCTCTAAAAACAAGAAAAAAATGCAGAGGAATGTTGTAAGCACGCAGCAGATATATTTTAAGTAACAGGTAACAAAACAATTGTATATAGGAAAAAAACACCATGTTCAGAAGCTTTTTTTTTTTTTTTTTTTT